AAAAATTGGGGCCTGCCTGTGTTTAACAAGACTCGATTTCTTTCTTGTACACACTTTACTACCCCCATTTCCAGTAAGTACCATGAAGGAAATCAGGGATTTACAGGATGCTGTGTTATGATAACTAGGGAACAACAGTTCACCGTCCAAAGGACGAACCTGGCACTGTTCACTACTGTTGAGATCCTAACTCCAAAGGAAAACGTGCTGCTCCCAGCGGCGAAAATAAAATGCTCGTGAGTCGGCTCACGTAGCAGAAAACCTTCCACAGCACTTGACTGTGTTACTGAAATTCTACCTAATGTCTGTGATACATTGGTTTGGCTACCAGCTCTCTGTTCTAAACAAGAAGAGTATGAGCAATACGTTTTGCAGCTAAGCGCACCCAAGTGATGTAACTGATCAGTGATCTCTGACGAATGACAGGAGGGTCTGTCATATTCAGTCAACAATAAACTGAGATAAACACACAAAGAAGATTTTGAAAACCTGTAGTACCACAGACATTGACCGCAATCTGCCTCCTCTAAATAAATATATTTTAAATAATAATAAAAAATCCCTTGTCCTGACTCATAAAATCCAAAGATCCAGATCTATCACTACACATCCCAGGAGTTCACGAAGAACTTTGAAGTTGACTCTGTGAGTGTAAAATGAATTGTTGTAAATTAATGAAGAAAACAGAAAGTAGGACAACATAGTTTGTAAACTTAGATTTGTCTCTATTTAAATGAAGGGTTAAGTCCACAATCAGGCTATTTCATTATTTGGTGCCCTAGACAAGCCCAAAGGGCCAGCTGACTTGTTTTATTCAGTTTCTCTCCCTGCTCATCTGACACGGAAGACACTGCTGAGAAGGACAGACGTGGCTGTGGATTTTATTAAGTTAGGAATTCACATATAGGTAGGTATTCAGATCTGAATACCGGAACGCTGACCTAATGTGGATGTAACTCTGGGGCAGTACATTAAAAGCTCTGATGAGTCTACCAAGAAATGCAGGAACTACCTTTCCTTCATCCCCCAGGAGGATCACGACAAGGTGCTCTGATGCCTGCTTTTTCTATGGGACATTAGTCTGTCAAGCGGAGGGGACAGTCCCGTGTCAGCCCTGGGAAGCGTGCAGACCTTTGGGGAGCTGAGTGGGGGAGGAACAGAACCTAGAATTAAGTGCCTGGGAGCTCTGCCAAGAGTCTGTGGTTACAGTCTGTTTATCTCTGGATAAGCAATCTGTGCTCAGTGAACTTTTATGTTTGTGAAGTTCAACCAGGATGTAGATTAAATACAAGCCCTGTTTCAAGTTCATGGAGCACACACGCCTCTCACTGTGTGATGTGGACAAGCCAGTCACAGGTGATGGCCCAGCTCAGGGGGGATGTGGTTCTGGGTTTCCATATCGTCCCCCATTCCTTTTCCAAGCTACTTCTCCCGAACTCTCTTCTTTATCAGTCTCTCTGTGGTCTCTTTCTCCTGCTTTAGGAGAGGGGCTGGGGCAGAGTGTGGGTCATGTCAGGTGGGCAGTAACAGCTCACCCTTGACAAGGGGCGAGAAGAGGACCAGCACAGGCACCAAACGCCCCGTCTAGGGGAAGAAAGGTACAAAGTGATTCCATCACACATTCTTCTCAAAGACCATCTTTGAGGGTTCTTGTTCTTTTTAAAGACTGGATGGATTGTTAATGGAGAAGAAATAGGAATGAGGCTTATTTAAGGTACAAAAATCTTATATTTGTAATAACCTAAATTTATAGATATAAAACAAGTCTTTTTAAAGACCCCACCCCCAAAGTACCCAATATAAAACAGGAATTACTTATCCTAGGTCCTCCGTGGTTAGATACACATTATTCCCTGTGCAAAGAGCTGGTGGACATGAGTAGAAGCTGCTGGGTTGATAATTTAAGGAAATGTTTTTCCCCTTCAATAATACCGATATCGCGCTGAAGGCTGTCTGCATCAGAGGAAGATGTTTCTCAGGCATTTTGGACTCTTGCTTCTCCATTTGTTACAAAGGTGTCACGGGTCTTCCCCAGTAGAAGCTGACTCAGATTAGAGTAATTCTGACACAAATTGCCAAGAGGGAAACAAACTTTCATTTGCTAGATTACCCAGATATGTATGTTTACCAAGGTGAGAAGCACTCCCACCCCTTTCCCAGCTGAGAACACTCTCCAGGGAATGTCTCTGCACAGAGCAGGATGTAGTACCAGTGAGGCCATGGGCTGCGGGACCTCAGCTTCCAGGTGATCAGAGCCACCTCAAATATTGAGCATCCTCTGATCCAACAGGGGCATGTGCCCTGTAACTCTCATATGATTATCCCTATGTGCTAGCTATGTTAACCAAAATAGGCAAATTATTTACGAAACCATTTTTTTTTCTGTAAAGCAAAATAAATATATACAATTCAAGATTCTTTTCTCTTCTAAAAAGGTACAGATATCAGAAGCTGAACATCAGTAGGAAAATTATTTCAGAATCTGGGTGTATAATAAATAAACATGATTGATGATCATGTTTTTAAAGTTCTACAGAGATAGTGAACTCACAAAAAAAAATAGTGTTAGGAGAGTGAAGAATAACTGAGCGGGAAAAGTACTGGAAAATATGATTGTGTGAAATTTGGGGGGGGGAAAAATCCACAATCCTTTGATCAATCCTGGATCTTGGAGGGACACAAACCGTTGGAGAAACAGGTCTCTGTTTTGCCAGTGAAGTGTTACTCCATCTTGTACCTTGTAAATTTCTGTCTGCTTCTGTAAACTTGCCGAGGGAGTGATGCGGGGTTGCTGATGTGTGGGGACGTGACTGTTTTCGTTTTTTCAGCTGGTCTCAGTGGCCTTCGTCACTACCTGATGAGTAGGCCCAGTCGTAGATGACCAAGGGAATGCTGACCAGGGAAAACAGCACCCCCAGACCCAGGAAAAGGGCAGCCTGGAGCAACAGAAAGGCAAGGGTTACTTTCCGGGAAGCAAGCACTTCCCGTGCTCACCTGGGAACACACAGATACATTTCTGCACGCCCTTGCATGCGAACTGTGTTACAATAGTTGCTGAACTGTGAGAACCTTTTTAAAAACTGTGTGCCTCGGATTCTCCAAGGATGAGAAGCTAAGAAAAAGCAGCCATGCAGAACCGTCCTCTGCATTCTGCGCTTTGCTGTCATGGTCACCTCAGAGTGAATCTGTTCTACAGCTGACGGTCTCCTTACAGCTCCTTTCAAACTACGATGACAACCAGAGAAAAGAATGGCCTTAGAAAACGCACAGGCCATGTCACTGCTCTTGACCAACCAGCCTTGGTTATTGCTGGCAGGCAAACATTTTCATTTGAAAAAGTGTTCAAAAGATATGGAAAAGCAAAGTAGACTGGATGGAGTGAAATCGGAAATGCGTGGCCGAAACTAAGTGACTTCAAGGGTGGATGAAGGCCACAAGGGGCAGGTTACTAATTCTAGAATCTGGAGAACACAAGCTTATCAATTGCTTGGCCTTGAGAGCATCCACTGAGAGCTTTTTGGGGAGAAGGAAGAAGCATCGCGAGAGCCAAGGGGGCTGGACTGGAGTCTGGACAGGGAGATGGAGCTGAGGGCAGGGGAGGAGGTGAAGCGTGGGGTTCAGAAGGGTGCATGCACGCAGGCTCACCATCACAGGTCTCGCCTAACTCCCAGTGGGTCCCTCCATGGACAGGATCCCTTGTCTTATGCTGTTTGGTTGCTCCTCCTACCAGTTTTATTATGGGAGCAGGGCTGGAGAGACTCAGGGAATTTATGGACTATGGAATGGTCTCCACCACTGTCAAGATTTAATCTTAGTTTGCTTTACTGCTACGCCAGGCTGACTGCTCCTTCCTCTCTGTCCTTGGGAAGCCCGTACTGGTCAGATTTAGAAGGATTTGGGATTTGTGGTTTTCAGGATAATCCTGAAACCACAGGACGTAGATGCTCTACCAGCATCAGCGCTGCTTCTCCTAGGTGCCCCGGGTTGAGCCCTCGTGCCTGCGTATCTCCTCTGGGTCTGCGGACTCGGGTATCGTGTGTGAGTGGGGGGCTTACACCAGCTGGGAGGGCAGCTGAGAAGCCTTCTCCGAGGCCAAACTTAATGGTGCTCCGGGAGGTACTCATGGTGCAGCCACTTCACCCCTGCTTCCCTCACTGTCCCCAAGTGCACCACCTTCAAGATGCCCTTGAACTTCACCAGACCTGGAAACAAGAATCCCAATGTAGAAAGGTAGTTTCTGAATCCAGGTCTGTGGCTCCAAAGCACTTCTGCCCAATCAAACAAAGACCCTTTAAGCTAACTCAGACACTTGAGTTAAGGCATCACACGTTCCCTGGGCTGTAGGATGGAGTTACGTGACCAGGAATCGTACAGAAACAGGGGACTGCATAGAATCTTGGAGCTCCTTTCCACCTTACAGCTTGCTAAAGACAAGGCATCACGCCACAGAGACACAAGATGATCTCAACATCTAATCTCTCAGTTGGACCTGCCCTTGCTCAGTGCAAAAAGCGAAGGCACAATAAGAGAAAACCTGAAAAGATATTTTGAGGGAATGGAGAAGATTCAGATATGATGTTTTAAATCTCCCAGACGGGAAAACACTAAGACTGCTGCCTCCTTCTGAGGTCACTAAAAGTAGTATTAGATGGTGGAGATGGACTATGTGTTTGGTATACTTCAATGAAAAGCCAGAAAAAATTAGAGTGGCTGGCATGAGACATACCCAAATGCGTTGCGTTCCTTTATCGCCATCCTGGCTTGTTATTTTTAAATACAGAGATGAAGGAAGAATGAAAATTAGCATATTAGCAGATGTAACTCCTGTAAAATAAGAAAAAAAAAACGTTTGCAGTAGTCATCGTGGAACTCTGGCTTTCCAAACAGCCGTTGGAGAGTAAGCGTGAAGTCACAAAGCCATACCTACGACTCCAAAAATGTCCTTCATGGAGGGTATGAAGATCACCAGTAAGTTGATAATCACCAGAAGTATGAAGGTCACCAAGACATGACGACATAAATTAAACTTTGTTTTCTTAGCCAGTTCAAACAAAGATGAACGGACCTGCAGGAAAAGAAAACGAAGGTTCTGTGGTGCCAGCAGCATGCCGACCTCCACATTTTTCAGCAGCCACTGATAGATTGGTGCCCAGGCATTTGCGACAGGCTTCGTCACACCTAGTGAGTTTACAGACACCTTAACAGTCTGGGAAGCAGCGGAGCTTGACTTAAGACGGACAGTGTTTTCTTTATGACTAGGTAGTTGTCTTTTGCAGGCAGAGGGGTAGCTTCTGTTTTATCTATGACTGAGGGCTCTCTTCTGGTCCTACATCCTCCTGCCATGTATAACAGGGGATTCAAACAGTCTATCTACACTTCTGCGTAAAGAAGAAGAGGGATAGATTAAGTAGACGTAAGATTCATTCCATCGGAGTTGTGGCGTATATAAACAATGGAATATTATCAGCCGTCAAAGAGTGAAATAACGCCACTGCAGCAACACGGATGGGCCTGGAGATCGTCATACTAAGTGAAGTCAGTCAGACAGAGAAAGACAAATATCATATGGTATCACTTGTATGTGGCCTCTAAAAAAATGGCACAAATGAACTTATTTACAAAACAGAAACAGACTCAAAGACATAGAAAACGAACTTACGGTTACCAAGGGAAAAGGGGGGTGAGGATAAATTAGGAATTTGGGATTAGCAGATATAAACCACTCGATACAAACAGATAAACAACAAGGTCCTACTGCACAGCACAGGGAACTATATTCAATATCTTGTAATAAGCTATAATGGAAAGAAGTCTGAAAAAGGATCTATATGTAAATGTATAACTGAATCTCTATGCTGGACACCAGAAACTAACACAACATTGTAAATCAACTAGACTTCAGTGAAAGAAAAGCAAAGATCTGTTCCATCAGGAGGCTACCCTAATTCACCGATCCCGCTTTCTTTCCAAAGAGCCTTGGGATCCTTCCCCGATGCATTTTCAAGGATGCAGAAGAGTTACTTCAGCAGGCCGGCTCTGGAGATGGCTCCTGCTCTGGAAGGCAGCAGGAAAGAGGAGCCGCCAGCCGCTCTCAGGCTGCACTGCCGCCCTTTACTCACCGTGAAGAATAACACGGGCACCGTGAGGATGACAGCAACAATGACGGCCAGCCGCACCGTCAGGATGAGGATGTCATCTTTATTCTGGTACTTGTGCAGGAGGTCTGACTGCACTTTTTCTAAAAACGAGGGAGAAGTAAGAGGGTGTGACAACAAGACAAAAGCACATCACGGAATGACAGCTTTTCCGAACCACAAAGAATTTGTAACTTGGAGGCAAGGAAAGCAATGCTCTGGGTGTTGAAGTATCTATTAAGCAATTGATATAGTTGATGAGGAACCCCTCCACCCCGCTGGCCTCACCAATCCTTTAGGGAAAAGGACTGTACAGTAATCACTAGACATCACCCAGAGTGGGGATGCTTAACTCACACTAAATTACACCTAGGAGTCAGCTGGGGTTAAAAATACCATGCGGCTGAAGCACAAAGCCCTTCTTAATCTAGATTCTTCCCGACTTGGTGCCACTCATCACACACCGCCAAGCAGCCTGGTCTTGCCAAGCGGCCTGTGGGCCCCTCGGGGCCTCTTCAAGCTTCTCTTATAACTCAGCGTCCAAGCAGCACAGGTGGTCACGTAACTTGACCACCGGAAGGAAGTTAATTCTTCTCTCCCACGTACGTTTTTCTTATTTAAAAAAGTATTTAGCTTATATACCACTTTCAACTTTTTCTCAACTCTAAACTTCAGAAAGTGTGTCATTTCAAAGACAGCCGAAACTGGAGGGGCAGCCACTGAGAGCGAGGGAACGCTCGCTCCTCTGACCGAGACAGTCCCCTCCCGCCGTGTCTCCTCCTCCTCGCACCCATGTCTCAAGGCTTGGGGTGTGGAATTCCAGCTCTGGTCTGGGCCGTAGATTAGTCTTAGGGTTAGAAAAAGGATCCCGGGTCATAATAAAAATCTCCTTAGTTCTAATTTCCTTGATTCAAAATTCATAACCATTTAAAAATAGCTGAGCTTTTTTTTCTTTAACCTAAGAGCATAAAAGGGTTTGGTATTCTAGTCTACGTAAAAAAAAGGGATTTGTCAAGAAAAATCATAGCTTGAACAAGATAAGTGAGATGAGACTGTTTAAGTAACATTAAGCTTTTTCTCTCTCTCCTTCCCTTTACCCACCCTAAGCCCTGTGACTCTGCAGGAACCTTAGGAATACCATCTTCATGCAGAAATTAAACGTGGTATTTATGGATTCATTAGACAACGCTCTTCTCCATTGCCTGTGAAAATGGTAATAACACAACTGTATACTCAGGGTAGCCCCTCTCTCCAGGCTGAATTAATCATCTCTAAATGTGTTTAAATTTTGAGACCCCTTGTGTTCATGAAAAAATGCCAAGAAATATTGTTTAATAGAGGATGTGAAATATATGTATTTCAATGTAAATTCGGTCTCAAATTACAATGATAATGAAAGACGTTCAATAAAGCTGCAGGATGACTGATAAAGAAGCAGTAAAAGAAGGTAAATGATTCCTACAGGGTCAATAAAAGTTAACAATGAAAAGCTTTGCTCTTTTTCGGATTTCTTTTCTTTTAAACTTTCTGTGTCATTCCTTCAAATTGCTGCAAGGCTCCACCTTCCACCGAACACCCAGGTGTCTGATTTTTAATTAACGGAGTGTCATGAGGGTAGCACTTCGCTCTTTCTCACTTTCAAAATCTGTCTCTGTCTCTCTTTGCTATTAATGGAATCTGACCCAGTTCGCAACAGCAATTAGGAAAGCCTTTGCTGATGTAGTTTCAAGCTTTCCACAGGAAAGGTGGCAGGCTTATAAACTGCAATTTCTTTTAAGGACAGTATGAGGAGAGGAAAATTACAGGATAGTGTTTCGGTAATTAGTCTTTTGTGTGGTCTGCATGAATATTCAGAGGAATCATCGCCATTTGCTTCAAGTAGAAGAAAAGACCAGCAAAACCAACGGGCAGATTTGTTGCTTTTTTGGCTGTCACGTTAAAAGTTATTTTGACCTTGATTTTTAAGAACTTACTTACTAATACCTGTATTTGTGTGCTGATAGAAGTTACTTACCATAGAATGTCAAGTAGCCAAAAATGGCAGTCAGGAAGTACATAACAAACATGGCGAAAAAGGAGATATTGGAAACCATCTGCATCTTTTTCTGTGATCGACTGAAAACAAAGATAAAGCAATTTGAAAAATTAAAAACCGTGTTACTGAATCTAAGCACCAGTGTGAACACTGAAGAATGAGAACTTAACTTTCTTTCTATCAGGCTAGGGCAGACCTGACCCACTGAAATGACCCCCAGCAATTGTGCCATTTTAGAATAACTTCTTTTATACCAAGTGCCTATTGTGAGAAAGTGATTCATGGAACGAACAATCCCTTGAGTGTTCTTCCCCATTCTTTTAAAAGTTCTCATCTGAAGGGCAGAGAGTTTTTTTTTTTTTTTTTAGTATTTGTTTGATGTTATCTCCACCCTCAGCACGCACAGGAAAAAAGGCAGAATAAATTCCAATGCTGTGCTCCCAGTCCCCCGAGATCGGGGCAGAGCAAGAACTTGACCTCAGGTGTTCTGTTGCTAAAGCTGCTACTTGGGTTCTGGTTTTCCCATCGAATAGCCCTAGGGATGCACCCAGAAGCCCTTGTGTCTCCAGAGCAATTAGTGCCCAAGAGATCACAGTTGGAATAACGAAGGGCTCCCTCTCTCTCAGGTTAAAATAAGTTTACTCTGGGAGTTTGCACGAACCTTTGAGTTTCTTTAACTGCCCAAACAATCTACAAGACTTGTACTCAATAAGACACCACCAATAGTCACAATGTTTGACTGTGTTATAACAGGGAGTATGGAAAACAAGAAAAATTGAGAAGTACACACATGAGAAAATTTACAACCCAAAAGCTGGACTATTAAATGCAGATGTCAAAGACGTATTTAAATACTCTAAACACAGGTTCACAGTGTAGGATGTACACACAGATAAGTAGATGTAAATATTGCAAAATTTACTCATATGTCAACTAAATATGAAAGAGGAAGAATCATGAGTGAATTCAATGCTAAAAAACATCATTTTTATTTTGGTTTCAAACTGGAAATAGACAGCTATACTGCATATATTTTCTGGGCTTAAGACTATTCCACAATGTCTACTTCAAGAAACAAGAAAAAGTCTCAAATAAACAATCTAACCTTACACCCAAAGAAACTAGAAAAAGAAGAACAAAGTCCAAAGTCAGCAGAAGGAAGGAAATAATAAAGACTAGAGCAGAAACAAATGAAATAGAGACTAAAAAGACAACAGAAAAGATCAGTGAAACTAAGAGTTGATTCTTTGAGAAGATAAACAAAACTGACAAGCTTTTAGCAAGACTCACTAAGAAAAAAGACAGAAGACTCTGATAAATAAAATCAGAAACCAAAGAGGATAAATAACAATGGATACCACAGAAATGCAAATGGCTACAAGCGAATATTAAGAAAATACTATATGCCAACAAATTGTGCAACCAAGTAGAGATGGACAAATGTTTAGAACCATAAGACCTTCCAAGACTGAATCATGTAGAAATAGAAAGTCTGAATAGACTAATCTCTAGTACAGAGATTGAAATGGTAATCAAAATCAAAAACTTCCCCCCAAACAAAAGCCCAGGACCAGAGGGCTTCACTGGTGAATTCTGCCACTCAAAGATTTAATACCTGTCTTTCTCAAACTCTTTCAAAACACTGAGGAGGAGGCAATGCTTCCTAAAATTATTTTATGAGGCTAACATCATCAAGAGACCAAAACCAGACAAAGACAACACAAGAAAAGAAAACTGATGGCCAGTATCTCTGACAAACATAGATGCAAGAATCCTCAACAAAATACTAGCAAACTGAATACAACAATACATCAAAAGAATCGTA